GGTATGCTGCGGTGGAACTTGGCCACGCATTACCCCGACAAGCGTGTGCTCCGAGCTCAAAACAGGTGTTCGCTGTCGCATCAGAAGGAAACCAAATGACCGATCTTTGTGGCTCCCTGGAGTCTCCGCAATCAAGTGTCGAAGCCACAGAACGAAAGAGCCGTCAACAGCAATGCTTGTTTTCCCACAGCCAAGCGATTTTCCAAGCTCTTGCGGGGGACAATCCTCGCTAACGCAAGACCATGGATGCTATAAACGGTGGGGTGTCTGACCGTTGGGTTTCCTCTTCTCCATTGCCATCTGGCACTCGATGATGTCATCAAATAAACTAAGACAATCTACTCCCCAACTCTCCTAACATTTGGCCCTTGGATAATGCTCATCGCTGGTGATTCGTCGTCTTTGGTGTTCGGGTCATAACCAGCTCCCTAGGCGCGCGCACAAGACACAATCGTAACTCACTTTCGCGAAGCCTTAGCGGTTTCTTCGCCCGAAAGGTATGACTAACTTGGATCATATCCGTTGCTTGAGCACCCTACGACACGAGATGTATCATTCCAACCCCAAGGTTCAACAGGATGGTGTGCGTCTTAATTGGGCGCGTCAGCATCGCCATCAATGAATAGTGCTACTCCCATGTCCAGCTAGAATCGATGTCAGGTCCACAGCTGAACGTGGGGGAAACCGGTTTGGAGGCGGCACCGACGAATGGTCCAAGTGGCAGTGACGGATTGCCTGAAGTGACAGGTCGGCTGAGGCGCGAATCGACAGGCGAGAATCAGCGACTTGCGAGAGCAAACAAGGAGGGCGACAAGTACGGCTTCAACATGAAATCGGAAACGCTGGCGAGGAGCGAAGTGAAACAGGCTGGTCCTCTGAGAAGATGATGGGCACTAGTTGTTGTGGATACTGAAGCCGGTGTCTCCAGCGAAACCACCGGAGCGGAGCTGGAAAGCGTCGCCGCTGTCGAAGCCGCCCTTCTTCCTCCCCACGCCTGTCTTTGACCATCACTCAAGCCCTTAATAAGATGTCACGTTTGTCATTTATGACACATACGACCATACCCATTGGAGAACTCGGGATCCCGTCCGCTCTCCCATAGATAAGCCAATGAGGGCTGGAGTAGTAGTCGGGTCGGTGACGACCGGCGAATGCCCGGTGTTGTATGTTCTTTTACCGATCTTTTGGCCCAGTTATTGACGTACCCCAATATTATTCCACTGAGTCTCCGCATCGCTGCAACTTCTTCAGCACGAACCACGTCACTGGAATTAGGATTGTTTCTGCCCTCTGTAATTTTTTTATTTTTTTTTACTGCTGCGGCGTGAAGTAGACAAGAAGACACTCCTTGTAATATTGCGTGAGATGTGTTGATATTGCCACCTTCTAGAAAGTTTATGAATGGGCGAAGGGATACCTTCAGTTGTGGAGCTTGCCAGTCATTCTGGACCACCCTTGTTATGTATAGCCCTCGGTCTAAGACTCAGAGGTGCCCTTGATCAGAAAGATGTAGGTATGTATGCGTCTAATTTAATTTATGCAGAGCTTTTTGGTATTGTCGATATATGGTACTATGAACGCGTTTGGGGGGCATAAAGCATCAGCAAAGTGAGTGAAAGATATTTCGGCTTTTGGAAAAATTCGGCGTTTTCCCCAGGAGGAGTTTGTACGCTAGTTTCCGTTGTTGCCACTGCTGTTCCGAGTGTCACCCGCATCGCCATCTTCGTTTTTGCTATTCCTTCAAGCGTTATTTTGCCTCCATTTATTGTCTTTGCGAATAACACGAATCCTCAATCTGTTCATGGAGCCTATCTAGGGGTGCTCAGACTTTGAACCTCTCTATATAAACCGAGCTGTTAGTAGGGTCCTCGCGGTCTATACGCAACCCATAAGTCTAATTCGAATAGTAGATAAGACTGAACTACTAGAAAGAGGAAGAGAAGCTCGCGCAATCTCTGTGTACATTTATTCATCTGAAACACGTAATCCCAGTCCGGGAAGCGATCGATTCTCAAAACAACATGCAAGGAACAGGTCGCAAAGACCACTCTTCTGGGAGGAGTGCCTTATTCCTTCGCCTGAAGGCTTACCAAGGCCTTCAACTAGAGTGTAACTGTGCTTTGGTGACCGAAACCCGCATGGAAACCGACTTACTTTGCTGTTTCCCCTGCCTATTGATATGGTGATGATTGCCGATGAGGCAAGTTTTCCCAACATGTGCAACAGATCCCGGGCATAATCCAGGGCATAGTCCCGCATAGCATGTCGAGGAAAAGCATCAGGATAATCACATTCCCGCCATGTCGACGCAACTCTCAACCCCATAGATAACTTATTCAACAGATTAACAAGTCACGCAGGGGTTCACCAAGCCCTACGATTCTCCGAACCCAAGCCATTGAGGCCACGGGAGTACATTCAACCACCAGGGTTCCCAATTGTCGTATGAGCAGGCAGTTCACATATGCTGAAAACTCTGCCATTCGGGGAAACCCTAACGTGGAAGATTTGTGCCCCAGCCTTCAATATCCGCCTTGTGCGTAAACTGAACACTGACTGGGTCATCTGAACCACCAATGACCTGTGAAGGAATTCTTACCTCATTGTGAATGCCAAAGAATTTGACATGATAAGCTTACGGAGTGCGCTGCCTCTATTTCCGGGGTGAATTCAAGTATACAATCATAATACATGCTTTCTCGTACCTTCTTCACTGCCCCACATGAGAAATTCATAGATATTTGCCAGCTTAGATTATCACAGACTTTTTCAACTTCCTCGTTATCGGAGGGGCTATAGGAAAATCCGGTCTAGAGGAACTTTTAAGGCGCCCATGCGGTTCTATTCAAAATTCAGGGAGACTTCCGTATGTACACCGTGAGGGGTGAGGTTGAGGTCGTATGTATTCACATCTATTAATTGTTTGCCCCCTAGAATTCGGTGCTCAATTGCCCGTCTGATTATTGGATGGCTAGAGGAATGCTCTCTGGGTGCCCTCAAATATGGTAACTAAAGGACACCATCGAACTCTCTTGAGTAATTTGAACAAGCGATAACCTGAATAAGTTTCTGCCTTATACACTATCCGAGTTAGAGAGAGAAAAGTCATATGAGGTAATGAAGACAGTGGAGCCATAATTTGGGTGTGGACCGCTTGGAAAAGATAGACTGTGTTTGCATGAGTTTTCAGCGAGGAAAGCTCGCGACAGACAAAATATGGAACTCGTCCAGGCCAAGTTCACTGTGGCATGGAAGGTATTGAAAATGGAGATGAAGGTGCCAGTGATGATTGCTGACGCAGTTCGAGGGACCTTAAAAGCACACGCCAACGATCATAAGCCGGACCTCTCAATCCATTTGGATTGGGACTCGAACTTTCGTGGGTCCTCGAGCTCTACCAGAACAAATAGATAGACAGCGAGTGTGATTACAAAAATCTAAAGGCAGAGTTTCGCCGACTGAGAAAAAATGATCCTGGAGCCATTCACTTGAAAAAAGAAGACTAAGGCTAGGTCTGTACCGTGGAAAGCAAAGCGCTGCAAATCGGAATCGCAATCCGGATCTTAGTCGAGCTGATCCGAACATCATGCTGGGTAAACAAACTCAGACCGTGATACAGCATGTTATGCTTCTGGTATTCGTTAATACTTATTTGTGATGCTGCTTTCGGAGCAAACGAAAATCTGAAGCTGTCAGTACAGTCGGTGGACTTCTTTTCGACAAAGAGACGAGAGTCACCAATTGGAATCGCTCCTCATTCATTAGCCCCCTCCTTCGTGAAGCCTCGCAGTGTTTCTGGCTGATTAATTCGCTTGAGTCTTGGTTGATTTCAGTTATCGGTGCTTCAGTGGGAGTGCGTTGTGTTTAAACTTCTGCTGTTACGAGATGGTCGACCCCATGAGAAGATTGGACATGGAAAAGACCAGGAGGGCAAGATTCGGATGCTCCAAAGGACATCTGAATTAATCGATTCCTGCCTGCAACTCCCCAAGACGACGGTCTACGGCTCTATGGACCTCCAATTCCGACTTGGCCTGGCACTATGGAACCGATGAGAGAAAAGGTTAGAAGGGAAGAAAGGGAAGAAAGAGGTTTCTCCGTTCTCCGGGAAAGATGGGCAACGAAGCATTTGGTGCTTTATCATAACAGAAAGTAAGTAACTAAATCCCTCGTTGTTTTCTCAGACCGGGAATTGTTTCTGTCAGTCTCGGATGGGTCAAAGATGTTTTGTGCTCTGCCGTGTGTCAATACCCAAAAAACACCCGCACAGTCGGTTCAGACAGAATGATACTTTGAGAATGATCGAAACTAGACAGTGTGCAACTGTTACTGCAAAATAGAGCCTTAGACATCAGACCCAAAGACGATACTGACCAACGTCTTCATTGACAGTAGGGTTGAATCGCAGTATCACAAGCGCTGCAGGATGCCTCTCTATGCGTCGCTTCTGTGGTCCTGGCGCGTCGGACTTTTCTCCCTAAATTCTCTTCCAGAAACCCAGTCGTGCCTGCCCTTTGCAGTCTTGCCGCACACATCCACTTTAATCCAGAACGCTAACTCCAGCTTCAAACCTCTCCGCGACACCTATTTACCTAATTTTGTTGTCTTGTTCTACCACAAGCTACCCATCCACTCAGAATGGTACGATTCAGAGTCAATCCGCAGATCTACATTATACTAATTGACCGCTCCTTCTGCAGACGTCCAACGTTCGAATCCTCCGTGAACACCCTCCCCTCCGAAGCCCAGGCGCAGACAGCGACGGCGACGATGGCATCCCGCCCGCGTACTTTGTGGATGACTACAACTCCGAGGATGACCCCGCGTTCGTTGAGCAATCCAAGAACAAGATCGCAGAATAAGCCTCCAAGCAGAAATCCAAGGCCAAGACGAAGGCAAAGAAAGACGATGTATACGACGTCATGAATACGGCACCTTCCCCAGATCCCCACCCCCTCGCCAGAAACCTTCGAATCCGACAAGGACCAATGCGTGCGATCATGAAGACTCGATCCCGCGCCCAACACTCCGACGATGAGCAGCCCAAGGTCGCTACCGAGGCGCCGAAGAAAACTCTCGCAGCCACCAGTGCCGTCGATAAAAAAGGCACCTCTGCCTTGCATACTTCCTCGCCCATCCCGGCCAACAAGTCTGCTATGACCACCGCCACGTCTCGACTTCCTTCGTATCGACACACTCCTTACGGTACCATCGCCTCCAAGTCTACTATGCTCAAGGCATACTACAAGGAAACTAAGGATGCTTGCTTTGGTGATATTGGAAGCGGCCAGGACAAGAAGAAGAAGAAGCTGGCGCCTCCTGTGGGAGATGATGACGAGGAGGAACTATTGTGGTTCGATTGATCGAGGTTCCAATGATGAATCAGTGGACGTTGAGAATTTCGGTTCGGGACGGAATTGCTTGTATTACCGGTTGAAGAGCCACTGGCATGAATGAATTGCTTGCCTTCCCCGATTATTTTGATTAGTTCGGGCCGATAATGTAGCTTCTAGCCCAATCCACCGTTAACTGTCCATAGAGTTCATGAAATCGCGTAACGAAGAAAGAGGAGACATGGCCGCTCAGTTTGTTAATAAAGGCGCATGTAGGATGAGGGGAGGGTCACAACGGGGACCAGAACATGATAAATTGCCAGACTGGCGGCAAGCCTGAGCCTCTGCGGTTTGTAACAAAGATTGAGCCCGGGGTGACATTAACGTTGGCAAAGAAAAGCAGGTAGGACAGCCACAGACTCTTGACTATTCTGTTAATTGGATGGCTGCTATTCGCTCTATATATCGAGTCGATATTGAGCTCCGGCATCTGAAAGGAAGTCGATACCAGCCCGTGTGGTGGTGCTAGATTTCCTCGAAAGACGGCCCAAAAGTGGGTAAGTACCACGGAAACGACAAGGGTTTTGGTGTCTTCGACTTGATTTGGTGGAGACGAAGAGAAACCGTTGGTTTCCACAGCTCAGACAGTTGTTTTGATTGGATAGACCTCCATGTCATTTCTCCACTTGCACTGCTCACAATCCTGGCATCTCTGGCATGCTCGGAGATGGGAGGGGCTGTTGATTGAGCGTGTTGGTTGGTACTTCATGTTGGCCGAGCATGTTTGCTTCCATTTTGGGCCAGAATGTTTGCTTCGTGCGGTTAAGCGGTTAATCGAGCGGAACAAATATTGAAACTCAATCTAGTCCTTCTCCTCTTTCTCCTCTCTTTCATTTTCCCCAAGAGTATGCTTTAATGTGTTGCCATGATCATGCTCTCGAGTTACATTGACGATACCCCGAACGGCTGGTCAGCTTCGCAGCCGGGTTCCGGCGCTATGGCTCAGCAGACCATGCGATGGGTACCTAGGCCTAATCCACTTCACCCACCATTCGAGCCGTCCGGACCGCCTGGCTTCCCGTCAGCAATGAAGACTACCCAAACCTCCCGTGTCGTCCATTCCGATCCTTCAGGCCAAAACCCGCCGCGTGTACCCAACCCGAACTGCTCCTCCCCGGTTCCGATGCCGCCCCAATCCAGCATTTCGGATGCGAGAAACCGGTTCCCCATTGAAAGAGGGATGGCCCCGCGGGTCCCAAATCCGAACTACCAACAATCAAACAGCGGTAAGAAGTCGACTTCAGCTTGAACGTCGAAGACGAAACACCTGATAATCCATAATTAGCCAACTCGAACAACCCCGAACCTACAACTTAGGGAGCCATTTTGGTGGCGGCACGTTTCGGTAACATGAGAAGACATGATGTGAAGGGAGGTGGTATCATAAGAGTTATAATGATCTCATATAATTATACAAACTACTCCTTAAACGTTTTTCGTCGTTCGCAGCCAGAATTATCTTAACTGCGATTGATAAGCTCGCGGTCCTGCAGTAGCACCTAGCCATTAAATCAACTTTCTTACGATCTCATTAAAAGCATATTGCTTCAAGTGTTCGTTGGCTCTCGTGCTGCATCGTATGAATTGGAATCTCATGGATGGTGCGCGAGATACTGCGAGAAACATCATCAACAACAAGACATTGTGATTGGCGAGTGCGAACTCAACGGACCTAGGAAAAAGTCTTTTCTATGGCTAATGGTGATGGGAACACAGGAGTGTTTCGCAAACTTGGTGGCTACCGCCCACTGCCCTCTCGTGTACCGCACTCAGGTCATTAGCTTCCTCCTCATGACATCAATCTCTTAACAATATCAGAACCTCGCCTATCCGTCTCCACCGTCCTTACAAGCGTTTCAAAGCACGCAGGATATCGACCATATCAACCGCTTCGCCTTTCAATTATTCCTGAGCTTTTCTTTTCTTTTTTGAAGTCTACTAGGAAGGCTGTCTCCCCCTACTTGGGGTGATCTTCACTAACCGTCCTTTGGCCGCAGTATCGACCACGCTGTTATGCCCCTTCTGACGAGCCCGCTGAAAACAGTCAGCTGGCAGACGCTCCGCTCAGCAGGTAGCAGGGTGTCATGATGGCCACTGATTTTAGACTTACCCAACGGGACGATGCCAAAACTACCTGTCATGCTTATTTTCAAGGCCTTCAATGATTCAAAAGAATCCATTTTATATGTTTGCAGTTGGGCGACGCTTTTCTCTTCCGATAGATCTGGACGAATCTTGCGCCGACATTGACGATCCCTCGCAGGTCGATATCGACAAATACAAGGAGCCCGCGAAGAACTGAGCACATTGGCCAAGAATACTGTATACGGCAGAGATGCCGAGGTCTGGTTGCCGGATCGCTCATTGTTGAGAGATTTGAGAGCTGAGACGCAGCAGCGGTCCTGGGCACTCTGAGCTTCACTCCCAGAGTGCATAATCTTGATATGCAAAGAACTGCCCCCGGCCCTCCTTTTTTTTTCTAGGCTTTGATCTGTACTTTCGGACGGCTAGTCACTGTTTGCGGGCATATGCTTTTGACTGCCGTATGAATGTGGCTGACAAATGTTACCTGAAAGGCGGAGGAAGTTGAAAACCCAGATTCCACTCCAGGATCCCCAGCCGTATCGACATCATCGATTCTATTGTCTTTGTAACATATTTTGTTGTGCCATTCACCACATTGATCCCGACAGGCCCATTCGAAGCGTTTCCAAGCAAACGGCCTGATGCCGTCATATCCCCCACGACTTGTGTTCTTGCTCAAACAGCTTGGGTCTCGGAAGTGCGCGGCGCTTCGTCTTTCCGTTGAGGAATATTTCGCAAGAACCAAAGTTTTACAGCCCGGCGCGTTATAATCTGGCCAACAGACTTCTATCTTCAGATCGAAATTTGACCCGAGCTATAAAAGTGGCAGCTAAAACCATTGGAAGACTTTGACAGGGACGCACGGGCGGGACGGCTGAATCCATCCCATCTAAACCGAGACTGAGACCGAGTATTGCGCTAACAGTACGATCCCCTCGCAAATGAAAACTTCGAAGTGTTTAACAGCCCGAGGCTTAATATGACTCATAGAGAAGATGGAGAAGAACAGCATGGTAAGCGACATGGCGGCCGTCGTGGAGGACTAGGGTAAACAAACGCAGTGCCTTGACTGCGAGTTCAAGCGTTTCGAGCAGGGTGTAACGATTTTAGTGGGCTGTCGCTGGCGCCTCAGCTCCCGGACATGGTCAGCTTGAAATTAATTTTGAACCTCTTCCGTCTTTGAAGCGTCTCTATTCATCATTCTGATTATGCTTTGTAACTAGCACTTAATCCAGTCAATACGACTCCGAATGATACGATTTTGGACGGCCCCCGCTACGGCTACGACCACCTTCAAAGGCCACCAGACGTTCTATCCATCATCCCTGCCCATCCCTCACACTCTCTTCAAATCTGTCTTCTGCGCACAACCTTGAGCATGACACCACGACCAACAGCGTCATGATTCTATCGACATTGACATCCCTCTCCGCCACGCCTTGCGACTCGATCTGCATCCCCTGATCTACCTTCTTCCTGGTTGGCGTGGGAGAATCGTCAAATAAAGACATCGTATGTTGCTTTTCAGTGAACTGGCTGGTCTCTTATGTGAGCCTTCACAAGCTAGCCGTTTCTGATTTAATTACAGACGGCCTCCTGCAAAGACCACAATCGATTTCACGCATCTGACTCAGCAGCAAAGTCTACTATCTTAAAAAAAATTATTTTGTTGCTTGTTCACAGTTCACATCTTGAAACTGGAAAGCTTCTACGTCTGATTTAAAGCGATCATTGTATACGCCTGTATTCAAACGCACCAGCGTTACCGGCAAAGGATGGGTCAAGACGTTCAAAATTCCCTTGACTATCAGCTCGCCGCAGAGCTTCCTAGCCCCGACCCTCAGAATAGCACCCATAAGCATTTTCCACGCTCAGCTGTCAATCTCGTCCAGAAAGTATTACTGTTCCAGCCCTTTCGTTGCCACTAACCTTTCTATCTCCCAGGAGAGCCGTCCCTACACAACGTCTGCGACTCTGAGACTCGGTGAACGGATGCCGTCGTTGATTTCAATGTTCCCGAGAGTTGTTTGAGACCCGTGGTTATCGCTCTTCTTAAGGAGATGGGTTAGAGGAACAGAGCGTCTTTGTCGCTAATTCATCTCATAGATGGCTTGCTGGCGGAGCGTGAAGGATGAGACGTTTTCCATAGGGAGCGGGCTGAGGGAGATGACCGACCGGAGTGTCCGATTCATGATATAAGCTGAAGTTACTAGCAGCCTCAATGTTGTAAATGTACCGCGCACCATACACTCACTAACTAGACGCGTGATTCTGTCCATTCCTGGAAGAGTTACGAGGCTACTGATATGAGAGTCTCTGGGCATTAAGTCTTGATGCTTACCAGTCAATGAATACACGAAGAGAGGGGATAAACTTCAAAATTGGGAACGTCCGCAGTATGCCTTGCTAGTCCTTCCCAGCATTTAATGCTAGCGCCGAGCATACACTGCAGCTCTAATAGCACCGAGCAAGTGACGGTTCCTTTCTACATCAAACACTCTGTCAATGCTGTCAACGCCACCAGGCCCACGTCAAAGTTGTGCAAAACCCACTGCCAGATATCTATCTCTCTAAGGAACGGCATGCTGTATCTAGATATCTAGACGTAGAAGGCGTAGGAGGGGCACTATATTGATGATGCGATAAGAATGAGTTGAAATGCTTACTAGCTCTGTTAGCTTTGGTGCTCCCGCCTGGATGACTAGAAGGATTGAGACGAAGCTCCTAAGGAATATTATGCCCTAAGGACTGGCTTAGCACTATGACAGAAGCAGAAAAGAACAAACGCTAGGGGAGGAAAGGAGGTAAGAAAGAAGAGTAATCTGAGTGATTGCGCAAAACCCTTCCTTCCACTAGCCCCAGCAGGAGGCCTACCCCAGATTTATCTATCATGGGTATAAAATTAACTACTTTGACGTCTTGTATCTGCTTAACGCGGGCCTTTTTGAATATCGAATAGATTGACGTAATGGTAAAAACTAGTGGGGACCGAACACGAACAAGTTGATTACACCGAGGCCAAACGTGCTGTTGAGGTTATCTTGGCAGTGTCCTTCTGGTCTTTTGATAGATAATGGCAGAGACTGAAGACGAAATAAGGAAGCATCTCAAGATTGCAAAGGACTTGGAACTGGGCGACAAGAGAGAGGGATGAGTGAATGAATGGCAGGGCGAGGGAGGAAATTTTGCTGCGGATAGAGGATTGTTGAAGAAGTCTGAATGTGTTCTGATGACGTTGTTCAGCTGAAACAAGCAAAGGTGAAGGTTTAAGTAGGTAGTAGCTGCGCCCGTTTCGACCTAACAGCGGAACTGTTGTACAAAGCCAATCGACCGATGGAGTGGTCACGCAAGTCTACATCTTAATCCCCTCGTTGCTCCAAGCGTCTCATCTGCGAGATATCGTCTATATGCACCTCTGCTGTTGTCCTTCTCTGCGACCACGACTGAACACTTCTTCCTTCGTTTTCGTCTGTTATGACACTGACTTCCTCAAATACCTGCCAATACGTCCTTCAGGCATTGTGTTTGCCAACGCAAGGCGCCGAAATTCTGACGCCACAAAACGCGAGAAAACAGTAATGACTAGGATATTGGTTACACGGGGGTTGGCGTGGGCCGGCCCGTCGGCGACGTGTGGAGTTTAGATGATCTGTGGCAAGGGAGCAAAAGTATGTAGGTATTCAGGCTTGGATTATTGAAGCTCCTAATGTGGCATCAATAGTGATAGAGGTGGAGATGAGGTATTTCTCGTTATGCGTTAATCCCCGAGTGAAAAGAGGTGATCAATTTTCATCCTAAGTCACTAAGTTTGTAGTAATAACTACGATTGAGCCTCAAAAAAGCGGAAATGAAATGATTATAGCTCTTTATGTTTGAATCACCCGTCTTATAAAACAGATGGGCCATCACGCCTGTTGCCCAACTTCAAAATCATTTCATTGATTTTAATATCGTTTGATAAATTGCGACTGTTGTAGAGCCCTCCTCTGTTGCTGCTTGAGGTGCTTCTCCTCTATCAAATGGCTCGTTGCCGACACAGACGAACAGGCGTCTTGCTCTCCGAGCCAAAGGACCAGTGGCTGAGTGGTTAAAGCAGGGAAATTGAGGAGTTCGCCCTGAGCCTTCTGGCAAGCTAACAGGCGTTCTCCTCCATCGGCCTGACACGCTTCATCAGCTTTGATGACCATTCTCACCTAAGTATCTTACGCATTATGGAAGCTGAGAACGAGACAAGCGAATGCAGCCGTCCGATGTGCGCCGCGTTTGTATCCTTGTTCCTTAGTGTCTCCTGTTGGTGATCATTGAGAATGCCGACCAATTGTCAATCCAAATCGTCGAGATTGGAGGTGCCAAAGATTCACTGCACCACCCACCTTATTGAAGTAGCTATTGCTACCCCAACGGCTGTACAGAGTTCATATCGAATTACAAGTGATCTGACACAGTGCAGTGACACGGCCAGTTTCATGGGTGTCGAAACATGTACGAGCAGCATCGCTTATATTTCGTGCTGCAAGTACCAAAACTCTAGGACTCGGGTTCAAGAACACATTTGGCGACTAGCAGAGTTATGTTCCCCTAGACGGGCTTGAGAGCTCCTCGTACAGTCCGTAAAAAGCTCAGTTGCTTGGTGAAAGGGAAATGTGACGGGCCTACAACGTGCCTAAATACTTTGGTTATCTTCTCAAGCGCCTTTGCAGACGTTTGCCGGGACAGCAAGCCGCCATTGGCCATACCTTTCAGAGTGCCGCTTCCAGAATGCCGCTGGCATGCACGAATGCATGAAGAAGCCGATGGTCCCTCCCTCATTGCGGGAGTCAAGGTGAGTTCCTTCCCGGCTATAACCAGGTCCCAGGCGAAGATTTGCGTGTCGCCTATCAGGGATCTCGCATGCGAAATGGAGTACTTCAACGGCAGATAAAGACGAGGCAGGCTGAAGCACTGAGGCGGTCTCAACGACATGATTGTATGAATGTTGTGGCAGGAGCAGCTAATATGAGACTTAGCCCTAACGAGGAGTTTTCCTTTGCATTTAAATGGCTCTGGTGGATTTTCCATGGTGGCATCACAACGCGTGAGTGAAATTCCTACATCCCAGGAGGAGATCAACACCCAACTCCTTGAGGACGGTGTCCCGGTTGCTGGACTATTTCTGGTTAAGTCGCCGTCTTCTAGTTGTGCTCTTCAGCTTTCTGGCCAAGGAATGATCCAGGCTTATCCCTAGCGGGAGCCCTGCTTTTGAGCCGGAGACGGCCTTGAGTGTGCCCAAACGATAATCATTAGAAGACAGGCGCTCGTGAGCTACGATTGGGGATTCTAGTGGATGCTCCTTGAATGGAACCTTTTTCATCTCTACAATTCTGGATGGTGATTATCTGTAAGCGACGATGAGATTAGCACGTCAGTTGTGTTGGGCCTCATCTAGGTATATTGTCTGCGAAGGCGTCGCCCTTGATTGCCTAAAAACTGCCGCTATTATTAACGTGCTGAGTCGAAAATGCTTGGGCGTAGACTTTCATCGCCGTGGGGAAGGGGGAGGTAAGACGGAATTGTCAACGCGTAATAAAGTTGATATTGGAAGCCATGGGCGCATGCTGACGGTTGCGACATACCCTTGATCAGGAGACAGATGGTGGACGGTTGGGAGCTTGCTGAAGGACTTTACATAGTTGTCGTCTCGGTCTATATTTTCTCGTTTGCTGTCACCGATGTCGCCACTGAAGATGATTCTACGTGGATGTTAAAGTCTTTGCCGCATTTCAGGTTGATATTATGCTCTAAGCTTTGGCTCCGGTAGACAAAAGGGGCAAAAGTAGCCGTTCAATTATGAAGGGGAAAAGGGCAACGGCATGGACAGTCCTTCGAAGAAGAGGAATCGTGGTATACCTGATTCGATGGCTATTTAGGCAATAAGCCACGTCTCAACGCAAAAGAAGGCGGTCGGGGGGGCGGTCATGTGCACCGTTGATGAGTTTAGACCTGCATCGGCTATCCGAGGCCAAGCAAGCTCGATGAAGCCCAGAAAGCGGAGATAATGACTGGTTGTGCACATTTGGACGCATCCCTCCGGCCGGACGCACCATTTCTCACGCAATTTTGATAATGGAGCGTGTCCAATTGATAAAGTGAAATGACCAACTCCGCGTACCTAGCCGATGCTGGAAAACACGCCTGCAATATCTACCGTTGTGGTTCTTCGGACGCACCTTCGGATGCGCCCAGATCGCTGCGTCTGAAAACCCCAAGCCAAAGCGGCATCGACCCAACACTGTTTTGCTTAGGCATGACAACTTCAGATTGAGCCTCTGCCTGTTGATTCCCGTCAACGCGACTCATCATTTGGGAGTTTAGCCAACTGGCGTAACAGTGCTGAAGGGCTAGGAACTCTGCTGTTTAGTGAAATCGTCACATTGGCACGTGCAAGGCTTTTAAATCATCTGCTGAGGTCGAGAAACACCCAGCCAAAAAGAAATCGACCTTGGTACGTTCTCTTTGTTGGGGCCGCAAAGCTTATAGGTTGGAAACAAAATCGGGTTTCCAAAAGTTCGACCTGCACCGCCAAAGGCAACATTGGAGCTACCCCGCACGCGGAGCGCGTCCGCAGTACCTAATGTACCACAGTATCGTCCCTGACTTTCAATAGTGGGTCCACTCTCAACCCGTCACACTCTTTCCTCATGGGATTCTCAAGAAAGAAGTCTCATAACAAAGCTGCAGTAATAACTGGTCTTTTCAGTTGGTAAATAAAGGAATAGGCCTTTTGCTCCTTTTTTTTTTTTTTTTTTTTTTTTTTTTTTTTTTTTTTTTTTTTAAANCTTTTTTTTTTTTTTTTTTTTTTTTTTTTTTTTTTTTTTTTTTTTTTTGATTTAAACGGTGGAAAAGACGTCATTGTTGCGCTGCGGGTTAGGCCTTTCTCGTTCTTTCGATTCTTTTGACTTGGGGAACCTCCACGTTCCCAGCTCTTTCTACCGGCCGCAGGTGCCCTTTCCCTTTTTCCCTTTTTGGTCACTTTCCAGCTTTGGCAGCGACGCCCTCCAAGGTTGATTCTACTTTGATGGCCCACGCCTTCCATGAGACAAACCATCGCCATCTGAGACCGTGGTTCGTCTGCCGACCGAGGCTGCCCATCAAACCCCACCTTCCCTCGTCCACCCTACTTGACTCTCCTCCCAAGTCACCAACCACCTCTACACCACCATCCATGTCCGATCCCTGCGAGAACACACGACTCGGATCCTAGAACGTCTGCAAGATCCCGTCTCGTTGAATATCCCACATCTGATGGATCGTCTTTCGGCCTCGGTCCATGCCAGCTTGGAGTCATTCCGCTTGGGCAGACCCGAAGCTTGGGAGAGCCTCGCCGAGACCATCCAGCCAACTGCTTCCAACGGATACGCATCGCTGCATTCCGTCACGTATGAATACTTTTCGGCGCCAGAGCAGACCTCAGCCAGGCAAACCATGCTCGGATTACTCAGTCGCCTGTACCACGACCACTGCGAAAACCTTCCGCAGAAGCAGAAGTCTGGCCTGACGCAAGCGAGCAGAAATTGGAATGTCACCATTTGGCATTTCTTCCTAGCCCTCGGCCCCGACCTTTTGCGATCTCGCGAATCCTGCCTGGCCATTGTGCGCATGTCCAAGCGCGAGAATCTCGACTTCGACACCTGCGTTGCCCAGATTCACGCCCAACGCCAAGAACGCTTGAAGAAAATTGCTAGATCAACGTCCCTCGACACCGCCGGCAAGGTAAAGCCTGCGGACATTATAGCCGCCGAAAGCTCCAACAGCGAAGAAGGAAAGACACCAAACGCTTCCGACACAGACATGGCGTCTTCCCCAATCTTAGGCGCAAAGGCAAGTCGTGCCCGCAAATGCAATCCTGCCCGTCCTCTCGCTGACATGCAAGAGACAGACTCCGGAGTTTTCCCTCGAAATTGGCGTGGAATCGACAGAAAGCATATTGAAAGCGACGGCGACAGAAGGCTGGAGGCTACTGAACCGCAAGAACAACGTCAAAGATGCAGGATCTCGAGCCGAGGACGCAGGTGCGCTCAAAGAATTCGACCCCGCCAACCCGAAAGGATTCGAGGATGCCATAGAGGATGAAGATCTCGAAGGTGATACTCTCATCGATCTGAGCTCCGAAAAGGGCCGCAGATCCTCGCGTGGCAGCAACTTGGTTATTCAGAGCACCCCAGAGCCCGAAGAACTAGCGACAAGAGTTGAGTGGATCAAAGATACGAGAGCTACCAGCTCGCGACCTACGAGAAAACGGCCCATGCCCATTTTTGACATCTTTGGGCCCCCTTCCGCGAAGAGAGCTCGATCCAATGATGAAGATGGGGCGACTTTGATCAACTCGACGACAGTCCCGTTGGAGCAGCTCATTCTTGGCGAGCGCTCTCTCGAAGGCGACAGCTGGGCCAACGACACTGCTGTGAGCAACACGATCGGCAAGCTCAGAGCGAAGGACTGCTACGTCTTGGACAGTCTGTTTCTTGCAGGCACGAGATTTCTTCGACACGCACCCACAGAACGATACTTCGTGGCACCCGTCAACATTCGCAATATGCACTGGGCTCTCTACTTCTGGGATACGGAGATGGGAACCATTGAATACTATGACTCGATGAAGCACAGCAATTTGCATTGCAAAGACCGTCTTCTTTCCATCATCAACAGTGCATTCAGGCCTGCCAGGATGCCCGAAATCCAGGTCTACAAGGTGAGCCGTGTCCCCTCTTCAAATGACGCAACTGACTCTCTGCAGGCATTCCAGCAGAAGAATCACAACGACTGCGGCCCACTCGCAATTTTGAACGCTTTTCATAAGCGTTTAGGTGTTGAGGATTTCGTCAAAGGGGACGATTTTGACTCCAAGAATGCGAGAATATACTTTCAGCGTCTGCTTCTGACTTCTCTTGACGCCGCGCCCCCAGGTTTTGCTGAGAAGGCCGGTGTTTTGACTTCACAGGAGACATCGAGGGGTATTTTCGACGAAATGAAAGCGGTGAAACTCCAGGGGCGTCTCCGAAGAGTTGTCCAAAAGGACTTTCTCCTCCAGGCCAACCTCACTTGGAGAGCTTCGAAACTGGTCAAATTCCATGAAGCACACCGTACTATTGTTCACCAAGCGTACGAGCAGTCTCTCCAAGCGAGAGATGTACGCGACCACGAGCTGAGAAGGCTGCAAAGCCTCAAAGATTATGTTTCCAGTCTGCCCACTGACACCTTGGAACAAGCTTCCCCTATCGCTGCGTTTGGGTCAGGTCTTGATATCATGGAGAAGATGGCGAGAGAGAACCTTGACCGTATGCTACCCGCCGCTGAGAAGATGGCGATCCAGAGCGGACCATTGTCATGGGCGGAGGACCGGCCAATTACGAGGTCAATCTTGATGCTTCGGCATCTGGGACGACAGTACGCAAAGGCGGAACGGGCTTTGTGCGATTTTCGTGAGGCGTTGGAGGGCCTGGCCTAAAGCCTTTGCAAGTCTGTTGGTGGAGGAGCATGCGACACCGGTGTTCTTAATGAAGGATAAAACTTTTGGAGTGTTGGGACTTTTGTTGCTTTCAGGGAAGCTGCTGGAAGACACGTTAATTATTTTATGCGTGCTTACAGAGTACCCGTACGCTCACAGTACTTCCTAACCCACTTTCTGAACAATTCTATAAAGCTTTCCAATCTTGGAGTAGACAACTTTCCGTGACTCCGTGTCAGGGCCTCCTGAAAGCAGCAGTCATCTCCGACGCAATTGAGGAAAAGAACTCACCGAGAAGTCGACGACGGACAAGCCCATACATGAGATAACCCAAACGATACACACAGACGGGCCCTTAACATCACTGAAGGAAGCCGTGATGGATCATCGGCGCACCAAAGTCGCGAAACTCCGTCAAGAAAAGACTGGAAGGTTTCTGGCTCTGCATCGCTACCTCGAACTCACGAATGGAGTTCCCAAGAGTCAAATGAGTTCGGATCGCTTGAGTCCGCGAAGACGAGCATTTGCAAATGTCTGAGATCTTCCCTGAAGAGAAATGGTTCAGGCGGTCTCGAAAGATGATAGTTGCAGGAGTAGGATGTGTCCCAGGCAGAGCGTAAAAAGGCGATTTTGATGGCGGATTGACTGAGTGAATAAAAACATGGGTACGCTAAGCCAAAGCATCAACGCAGCGAGCACGTCATTACCATCGCAAAATTCCTTCTCATTAGTGAAGAGTTGGGTTTCTGGTTCACATGCCAGGGAGTGGATTCGGAGTCTCAGCCTGGTCGGTTCCAATGAAAGGGGTTCGGACACCTGTTGATCCAGCACGATAATTCTCTGGGCCGTTCGCATGTCGCGGCCGTTACATCACGAACATTAGCAAACCTCGCAGCAAGCCTTGAACCAGCTGCCGAGCTGACACTGTTTTGATCATCGTGGAGGAGTACAGCGGTGATTCATCAGAGTTAATGAGGAAAGTAAAGACGTTCTACCCAGGCGGCGTTGGCCATCTTGTGGATTGTAAGGTTGGTGATTAAAGGGAGTATCGAAAGGGTGTGCAGGATCGGCACGCAGGCGACGACAACAGATCAAGATTACAGGAGACGGCTTCGGCGAACGAACCGACGTTGAGACGGGCGAGAAGCCTTGAGACATGATTGAGTCGGGTGTGCACAGTACACCGGAAGACAGACCTCGGTCAATCCGACAGCTTGTTTCTACAAACACCAACTCGGGGAAGTAATCCAGCCTTCCGGTTTAGGTGGACAGGGTTGCTGCGGATGCTTATTAGGGCCAGCTAATTGGGGTAAGCAGACCTACACACAATCAAGACATTTATAAGACAGTCTCATCCCTTGCAGGTACTCAGTGAGACATCCCTGTCTCAACTCCATTGCTGACCGAGTTGTGGCCGGCGCGCAAGATTGGATTCCCTTCTTGGGCGCCGCATCAGGCTGCGTTGTGGCATAATCTTGGGGTGGAGACTTGGTTTCTGTCTAGATGACGACCGCTCGTCTGCTTGTCTCCTCTCTTTTGCAGCTTTGGATGCTCAGCTGTCCCAACGTGTTTTCGGCGGTCTCAACGCGGAAGATTGTCATTCGCCGGGTACTGGCCCCTGCATACTTGGTTGGATTGAGGGGCTTTGTGCATGCGATCTCTGCCGCTTGGTATTCATCTGTTTCGCTACTCATTGCTTTTCTTTGAGCCCACCACCGCCGGTTGGCTATCAACTTATGCGCGCTAGTTTCAAATAAGACTGTCGGTTTCAAGGGTCTCGAAGTTAGCGTTGTTCTCTCTTTACTCTTGCTAGCAGGATGCCTCCAAGCATTGAGAACACATGGGAGCAAAGGAGCCTGTCGCCAGGACTTTGAGACCGCAGAGGTCGTGGTCATCTCTCACCTGCAAGGGTCCGGCTGGAAATCGTGTGTTCGGGTCCATGGCCCAACGCATTCTTCTTTTATCTGGGCGAAACAACTTGATGAAGCCGGCAAACACCATGGAAAGTGAACGCAGCAGGCCCTCGTGATGGACGGTGGGACTTGTGCCGGGATTACGACTTCGGGCTCAAACATCATGCTTCCATTTAGAGGGAGTGGGATCTTACCGACCCACCGAAGCCCTTGTCTCACAAGTCCGCGTAGACTCTTCTGTCCGTTGGCTCTTGGCCGGAATGATGATGAGAAGGCAAGGGGCGAAGAGGATGGCATACCGCCGCCAAGTCGCCCATTCGGCCGTGTAGGAAGACCTCGAGGCTTACTAGCATTACCCTCGACAAGTTCAAGTCTAACTTTCGTTCCAACTAACACTCTGCGCTGCCGTTCCCGGGCCAATCCATCACATCAAGGCTTTGTGCAACACACACGGTAACTTGCAGGCTATATAACGAGCTACCCTGCCGCGATATCATGGTCTGTCGCGGCGCCTTGAGCGAATAATCCAACGACGGCGACCCATGATTGCTTCACGAGTCAACATGGACGCAGATTACTACGGCCAATGCAGTGAACATCACCGCTGCTACAAATTTGTCACACGGGTCCCAGGTTCAGGACATGCATTCGTCATGTGCGATAACAGACCCGAGGTGCACGCACGGTTTGAAGCCAGGGCTGCGGCCATGGATAAATACAACATGCGGACACTGAACGAATTCCTGCGCTCAGCTCCTGAGCTCCGCGCTGCTCGTGATCTGGGGCCCGAACTTGCAGCGCCTCATGATCCAGTGACACAAGACGGGGCTGTCTTGAGTGAAAGGCTGCAGACCTCGTCGCAGTCTGGACCCACGTCCCCGGCGGTTAGCCGCCCTTCCCAACACCCGGACCACAGGCCGACAAAGTCCGTCCCGGTAGCCAGCCTTTTGTGCGACGCACACGCTGAAACCTCGGGAAAATGACTTTTGGGGAATTTTGCGGTAAGTTGCGGATAATAACTCTGCATGATCCCTCCTCACGGGCCGTGGCTCAGGTGTGGTCTCTGTCCAGAATGCCCGCTGACTTTTAGCAGTCGCGCAGCGCATACATACCTACTAATGTCAAAACTATTTCATAAATCAAGGAATCACGCAGAGAATAGGAATGATGGTTGTATGGGAAGAGCGTTGCTTAATGGATTTTGCGGGTACCTAGATCACTCCTCCCGTCGGATTGACCAACTTCCGATTCTGGCGCTGCGATCGGCAGTTAGTCACTGTAATGAGGGAAGACTGCGCGGGGGCCACTGTAACGTAGGGTCTCTTAGAGCGGGTAGCACCACTGTCATAATTCGTGTGTGCTCCAATGGAGCTTGCGCCTCGCCGTGTGCGCGCAAACAGCCAAACCCCGTTCGCGACAACCTCAAGACCTCAATTGATGTACGCGACATGTTCGAAACGAGAAGCGCAGGTATCTGCTAACCGATCTAGAACGCAATTGACTTCTGGGAGATTAATCTCGTGCGACGAAATTGTGCACACAAGTTGCGACGATTGGCAGCGTCAAGGCACCCGGATCGGGGCAGCCAATGAAAAAGGCTCAGTGAGACTTGCTGAAACAGTGAGCCAAGGTACGTACCGCACACCCCAGGGTGCCTGGCGGTGAGATGGCTGATGAGCTGCAGAACCCGCGACTTGTTGTTGTCCTGCTGGTGCCAATGTCTGCTCGATGTTTGCTTGCTTTCCCGCTTGTCTTGTTGCTTTTCGCCTTGAAAGCAGGGGAAGATAAGGAGAGACAGGGAGGAAAACGGGGGAGAAAATCCCCTCTCTTTCCCCGCCCGCCTTGGAGACTCTTGATTTTCTCCTGCTTCTTCGGCGACAGCTGCCGCCGCCGCCGCCGCCGCCACCGTTGGAACCGCTATGCCCGTCCACTCTTCTGAGCCCGGAGGTACGCCGGATGCCATGCCCTGATGCAGAAATTCTCGTTCCATCCCGTACTCGTCTAACACCCGAGCCTACCCGAACGGCTTCGGCCTGGATAATAAGACACCATCAGACTACGTGCACTCGTGCAGTGACCTTGAATACCATGAAAATGAGAACATTCGCACCGGCCAGGCGCCAGTGAGGAACGCCTGCTGCGACGTAGCGGGATAGCGCAGGCGTAGGGTCGCAGTGACCGCAAGAAGAAATACTACTGGCACTGGAGAGCGAGAGAGAATAGATAGGAGAAGTCCCCAGAGGATACAGTCATGTTCCTGGAGCTTGTAGGTAATGGTGCTTGAGGCTTAGGCTCCTGGGTGGGTTGCTGTATCGTAGGGTCTTATCTAGACCTCATCAAGGCACACATATTGAACATGACGTAATGCAGGTTGAATTCCCAGTGGTGGTTTATCGACCTGCACTCCACTAGAGACTCGATTTGCACCTGGCTAGAAAGCACTTCGCCACAAACCTTACCTGGACTCTGCTGCTCGCTGCTTGTCGCCACCGGAAATCGGGCAGGAATTCTTCTTGGGTGGGATGAGGTGCGATGGGACTGTCAATTAGAGAGCAAGATTTGGACAGCACTACTTAAGCAGCCAATTGACAATAGAAATGGAGCAACTGCCCAGGTGAAGCTCGTCACCTGCTGACCGGGCGGCGAAGCTGTTATGAGGCGCACTTGATGTGCAGGACCTGCGCTCCCTTCGCACTACAAGTCATGTGAGAAGACCACTCACACGGCACCTTCCCCTTCGAATGCCCCCACCACGGACGCAACGCAGAGTCCACTCGAGTCAGTAGGTTACTCGCGCGTGAAATGGTCACGGTCTTTCGTCGTTCTCATCACCGTTTTGCTGCGATGTCTGGGCTAGAACAGTCAACATTCGTCCATACAGGATTGCGAGTTGTACAAAGACTTCCCACATCGCACATAAGTTGAATTCCTCTCCTGTTTCACCTGTCGATCGTTCCGCCATCTATATTACCAATCAGTATAACGTATTGCGACACTGTGAACTGTATTCACTTAGATGAGGGCCAAAGCTTGGCGAGATATCCGCCAGCACGGGCTGATACCCCTGGATTATTTCCATGACTCGATCTACTCCTGGATCATGCCTTGAGGTTGGGATGAACCTGACGCATAGCAGCTAGACCACGCTGAAGACTGTCGGTTCACCCCCACTTGCGCGATTCATTCCGTCCGAAAAGGTAACTGCCTTCCCGAGCCCTGAACAGAAGCAGTAAGAAAATGAGGCACGGAATAATATAGCATGCTTTCCACGTGAAACTAGAAAGATGAGGCTCATTCTTTACGCTTTTTCTACCCGTAGCAATAGATTGGTATCCATCCCGGCGTCCCGAGATATCCGACTCAGGCTCAGTCAAGCCCACCTCAGGTGTACATAAGATGACGTATATTTCCGCTTGACAGTTCTGATAACACACCAACCCAACACTACTACAAACATCAAATAATTCATTCCACCTCAGTTCCCATCGCAATGATGCAGTTCCTCAACGCAATCCTCGTCTTTGCCTCGCTTGCAGTTGCCGCTCCTGCTGCGGATGTGGCTGCCGCCCCTATTGAGGCCAGAGCCGCACCCAGCCCATGCTACTCTAACCAGAAGTTGACCTGGAACACGGGTCAGATCCCCGGCGACGGAGGATGGATTGTACGTGTTTATCCGTAGCCACCGCGACCACTTGTACCTGGGTACTAATGAATGTGGTTCCAGTGCTACGAAACCCCATCCGGCCCCTGCACTCAGTACTCCTGGAAGACGGACCTTCCTTACTACAGCGTAAGCACAGTCATGATGCATCGCTATGCACAAGGATCTAACGTTTGCTAACTTTGGTTGGTCAGTGCACCTAAGCTCATCGCCCTTGCTGTTGGGATATGGATGTCTGATTTCGACTTTCTGGTTCCGTCCTCGGCCTGTATAGACACTATAACTTCCTATGTTTAAACTCACTTCAGCGTATTTAGCATTTATGTTCTAATGTACTGTTATTTCTGGTGATAGGATGATAGGCAGTTACTATATATAAGCTTCTCTTGTAGTTTATTATTAAATTATTTTGAACCTCTAACCTATATATTACTATATTTAAGATCGCCTTACGCTTTATATATTAAATTAAGGTCTCTAGCTTTAATTCTAGGTTATTATATAGAATAGTAAGGTTGCTAAAAAACTAAGGTATATTTATAGTGCTAAAACTTAGGCTATTTAATATCTATAGCCTACTATTCTACCTAAACTTTATAGCTTTATTCTAGCTTAAAGATTTTATAAAGTGAGTAGGAAATAATATAATAGTATTTTAATTATTAAGGCTAAAAGAGTATATTATTATATTTAAAGTATTATATTACTCACTTAAAATCTAGTTAAGGTTAGAAATATCTTATAAATATTATAAAGTTTTACTTAAATAGAAGGTTTGAAAATATATATTTATTAAAGAATAATAAGTAATAAAATACTTTATTACTTTATTAGTATTATAAGCTATATAGTAAGTAATCTTCTATTTATATTAAACTTTAGTTATATTATTTTATTTTTATATATAAGTAAAAGATCTAAGGTTTTATACTTTAGTTCTTTTAGTTACTAAATCTAATTAAAAGATTTAAGTCCTTATACTTTAGTTCTTTTAGTTACTAAATCTAATTAAGAGATCTAATTGTTATAGTTAGCTATCTAATAGTAAGATCTATTAGTAGAAGCTAGAGATTAATATATTATAATAGTATATTAAGTTATAGTCTACCTATTATATATAGATAATATAATAGAGTAAGAGGGAAAACTTATTAATTATGCTAAACACTCTACTCTAAGCAAAAACCCCCTAAAAATACCTAAATACTTATATATTAATTTTCTAGATAACTATAAGAGATATAAAAGTAAATATATAAATATAAGTTTAACTAATTTATACTTTATCTATATTTTCTACTCTTATTATACTTTAGGTTATATAACCTTATAGGAGAAAATAAGTTATTAAGAAGAAGTTTAGTAGTATTATCCCTATAGTATTCTACTCTATCTTTATTTTAAATAATTAAAGAAGTATAATAAGGATTAAGAAAGAGGATAAAAGTAGGGCTAATTAAGGCTAAAAAAGCCTAAAAATACCTATTTTTATTTAATTTTTAAAAAGTAAGAATTATTAAATTTTTTCTATAAGCTAGGCTAAAAAGTTTTAAAAGTTCTTTTAGAAGGATAATTACTAAAGTTATTATTTAAGGTATAAAGGGTTAGGTTTTAAGAAAAATAATAAATATTAAGTACTTAAAACTTAAATTTTAATATAAAATATCCTTTTCTTAAAATTAATTATTTAATATTTTATTATTATAATATAATAAAGTATTTTAATAAATATATATTATTTCTATTTATAAATAAATTAAGATAACTCTAGTTTTAATAAAGCTTAATATTTAAAAAATATAATTAACTTATTATTTAAATATTAAAAGTAAATAAAATAATATACTCTATACTTAAGCCCTATTTTTTAATCACTAAAAGTAATTAAAATAATACACTCTATACTTAAGCCTTATCTTTTAATTACTAAAAGTAATTAAAATAATATACTTTATACCTAAGCTCTATTTTTTAATTACTAAAAGTAATTAAAATAATATACTCTATACTTAAGCCTTATCTTTTAATTACTAAAAGTAATTAAAATAATATACTTTATACTTAATATTATAGTTAGCTATCTAATAGTAAGGTCTGCTAATAGAAGCTAAGGATTAATATGTTATAATAGTATACTAAGGTTATAATTTAAGTTATAAGTTATAAGCTATAGTAAATTAGGTCTTTTAAAGACTAAAGTGATTAGTTTTAAACTTAATAAGTGATTTATAGTGAAAATAAACTAAGAATATCTATAAGGATAAATACTAAGTTAATTACTAAAGAGCTATAGAAGTCTAACCTTAAGTGAGGCTTAAGTTATACTATATATAAGTCCTAAACAGTATCCTTTATCTACTTTTAAGTGATTATCTAAATATATAAGTGATTATAATTAATTAGTAATATTAACTAATTACTAAATATTTCTTCTTATACTTTACTAATTATTCTCTTATCTTATTATTATATAACTTATACTATAGTTCTTCTATTTTAAGTAAGTCCTTATTATTCCTATTAATCCTATAGTATAAATAACTTATCCTAGCTACTTAATACCTAAATAGGTTAGTTAACTATTATCTATATATAATAAGTTATAATATTAAGTCCTCTCTCTAAAGATCTTATCCTTAAGACTTAATATAAATAGGTTATTAGTTTTAAATTAAGGATCTATTAATTATATTTCCTATTTTACCTATAATACTAACACTATATTAAGTTATATTTAGAAATTAAAATTAAGTACTACCTCTACTCTTTATTATTATAACTATTATTTAAGGTATAAAGGGTTAGGTTTTAAGAAAAATAATAAATATTAAGTACTTAAAACTTAAATTTTAATATAAAATATCCTTTTCTTAAAATTAATTATTTAATATTTTATTATTATAATATAATAAAGTATTTTAATAAATATATATTATTTCTATTTATAAATAAATTAAGATAACTCTAGTTTTAATAAAGCTTAATATTTAAAAAATATAATTAACTTATTATTTAAATATTAAAAGTAAATAAAATAATATACTCTATACTTAAGCCCTATTTTTTAATCACTAAAAGTAATTAAAATAATACACTCTATACTTAAGCCTTATCTTTTAATTACTAAAAGTAATTAAAATAATATACTTTATACCTAAGCCCTATTTTTTAATTACTAAAAGTAATTAAAATAATATACTCTATACTTAAACTCTATCTTTTAATTACTAAAAGTAATTAAAATAATATACTTTATACTTAAACTTTATTATTTAATTACTAAAAGTAATTAAAATAATATATTTTATACTTAAGCTTTATCTTTTAATTACTTTTCTTCCTCTTTTTATTCCTCTTATTTAACTTCTATAATATCTCTCTCCTTAATACTTCTTATAAATATTAGTAATAATAAGTCTAATACCTCTTTTTTTCCTTTTCCCTCTTATATTTATTATAAAACTTATATTACTTTTAAGTTCTTTTTAACTTTAACCTTATCTATAATATTTTCTTTTATTATTTTATAAAGATCTTATAAAAATAATAATCTTTCTATTAAAGTATAATAGACTAATTCTATCTTTTTCCTCTTTTAAGACTTAAAAGTCCTATAATCCTTTTTACTTTTTAACTATTTATATTATAACTTAATATTTTTAAGTAAAAATATTAAAATACTTAAACTAAAAACTTTAATAAGAACTTTAAGTATAGTAAACCTATAAATTAAGTCTATAAACCTCTTTCTCTCTCTTAAACTAAACTCTTTTATAAAATAGGTAACTAAATAACTATCTACCCCTTTCCCTTATTAAGTATTAAAACCTTCCTTTTTTAAAAAGTTTTATAACTTAAATAATTTAAGCCTCTTCTCTTAAAAAATACCCCTTAACTCTATCTACCTCTTCTATAGTTTATATTACTATATATAGATCTATATCTATATAGTAATAATCTTTATCTCTACTAATTTATATATAATACTTTTCTATTATTTTATAAAAGAAATTAATTATAAGTATTAAGCTTTATTAAACTTCTTTACTAATCCTTTAACTTTCTATACTATATTAACTAATAAGGATATAGCTTTAATATTATATTTAGCTAGTAAATAATATAATTAATCTTTAAAAGTAGCTCTAAATATTTAATAAAATATAAGCTCCTTAATATAATAATAGTTATCCTTTATAACCTTAATCTTATCTCCCTACTTTAGCTCTTTTATAATATCTTAAAATATAACTTAAAACTAAGATAATCTTCCTAACTTATCCTTCTCTTCTACTTAAATCTTAAGGGCTTTAAGTATCCTTAAGGCTTATAAAGTTAGCTATAGTTACTTAAGTAGTTTCCTCTATAATAATAACTAGCTTTTAGTTTCTCTCTCCTCTCCTACCTTACTTATCCTATTATTAGATATTTTATCTTTTTCTAGAACCTTATTAAGCCTAATATCTATATTATCTAAATATATATTATTATATTACTCTCTAGAGTTTATAAACTTATTTACTATAAATAAATTATTAATAGAGTTAGCTATATTATTATGTTCTTAAAGCTTTAAGCTATTCTTTTAATACCCCTTAATAATTCTTTAAACTTAGCCTTCTAACTACTATATATAAGAAAACTAAAGAAAACCTAACTAGAGAACTACTTATAAATAATATCCTAACTATACTATAAACTCTCTAAGAATACTACTAACTTTATAATATAAACTATATACTTATTTATCTTTATTTAGTAGTCTAAGTTATATTTAAATATAATAATAAATTAGTAAAAACGCTTACTCTTATATATAGCTTTTAATAATATAGCTTTTATCTATAGAGGTAGCTTAACTATTATTATAGTTTTATACCTCTCGCTTAGTAATACTAATTATAGGTTCTTTAATAACTAAGCTTTCTTAAAGTATTATTAGCTATTAAATATAATATTATTAAAATAGATAGCCTTCTATTTTAGTACTATCTCTAATAGATTATAAATATAAGCTAAATTATAAGAAAATAGACTAAAATATTAGAAAATAGAATAAAAGGTTAAAATAGTAGCTATATTACCTTATAATATAATATACCTCTAACTTTTAAATTACTTAATATACTTAAGGATATATATTTATATTACTAATATATACTTTTAGCTTTATTAATATACTAATCTATATAGAAATTTAAAC